AAAATAATAAAACAAAAGTATCAATAAATAAATAAACACACCCTATTAAAATGCTCACCAGTCATTTATGTCTTTGTTTCCAAAATAATTGTTTATATGTGCAGAGTTGAGGATAATGATGGGGAGTTTCTTCTGATTGAAGCAGCAGATTACCTTCCTAAGTGGCTGAATCCAGACACAAGTGAAAACAGGGTGAGTTTTCCACATGACATGACAGAGTTGACAGTACTGGAAGCACTGTATGTTTAAGCCCAAAAAATTAAATGCCTCCCACAGCATACTACAGTTATAAACTGATCCCCAGGCAAGCTTTGGTTTAATTTTAGACCCCCCTACTGATACATTGAAATGCAATTCACAACACCAGGGTTGTATGTCAAAATAGTTTTCATTTTAAATAAAAAAAACAGGAACGTTAACCTTAATTAGTGCTTAAAATGGTTGTCTGTAAAGACTCATCGGTCAACTCTCAGAGCTTAAAGAAAAAGGCTTATTCCGTAATGAATGACTGGCAAGAGCCCTCCAGCTATTAAGGGCATCTACCTCAAACTGTACCTGCATATGGCCCACGACATTATCAAGGATCACAGCCATCTAGCACGCCAACTAATCTGCTTGTTTCCCATTAAAGAACAGTCTTTCTTATCAACCAAGTGTTTGGTCAAGTGTTAATCTCATTGTCATCTTCAAGTTTGGACAGAAATGATCTGACACTTTACTGCAATGCAATGTGCAAGACAGGTTAAATAATCCCACTGGCACTATTGCGTACACTTGTCACTGCGCAATTTCTCATGTGTAGTAACGCTGCATACTGCACACCTATAATTTTAAGAATGTGTATCCATTTATGACTTTTAAAAATTCTATTTCTGACTCTAATAGTATTTTAATTTTAAATTTAGATTCATTTAGTGTTGTTTATTTATTTTTTTAAATCTTGTTAAATTTTTAGATGCTTGGTGACTTTTTCCCTCATCTTGTTAAGTACATTTCATTGTAATGTTGACCCCGTGTTAAGCTCGACTTACAATGCACCCAATTGGATAGAATTACTTATCATCATGCTTCATTTTTGTTTGTTTTCAATTTGACTTTTCCTGATTAAAGTTAATGCAAGAACAAGCTTGGAAGAAAACATGTAAAAACATACCTGCACAGCCCTTTTAAATTTTGTTTACTTGACACTGCCAATTTTTTGCTAAGTGTAGGCTTTTTTGCACCACTCCTTTTCTTTCTCAGGTCTTCCTATACAAGGGAGAGTTGCATATCCTTCCCTGCCCATCTAAATCCACTTCAGTGGGCTTTTCAAAAGATGTGGTACCCAGTGTGGCACAAGCTCTGGAGCTACTTTACACCCAACCAGAAGTCTGTCGGGCAAGCTCCAAGATTTCTTTAGCACTGAAGAAGAGACTAGAGGGGTAAGAGGGATTCCACATATAATCAATATTCAGTATTCAAAAGCAACATCATGATAAATACTACTGACAAAGTTACTCTGCATGCGTCAACTGGCACTCAGCCTATTTCAGTTACATAGTTTCCTTAGGGATAAATAGAGCATTCTGATTCTGTGGTTTCCAGCTGCATAGACAGGGAGAGCACTGGCTACATGATATTGGCTATTTAAAACATGAGAATACAGGGTGCTGAATCACTGTTGTGTACTAGAGGAATACAGTTTTGTAACATATACTTTTTCTTTCCCCTCAGGTATCCAGGGAAGATTAAATCGGGCCTCCACCGTGCACACTGCTTCATACCTGCAGGTATTGCCACTGTGTTGGCACAGCGACCAGACCTCATTGCACCTGCAGTTTCAGCATTCTACCTGCGGGATCCAGTAGATTTGCAGGCGTGTCGAACCTTCAAGACGTTTCCTCCTGATACACGAGTCCTCACTTTGGTAAATACATCCATGTATATATGTACTTTTTAAAAGGTAATATCTTTGTTCAGAACTGTTCTGTGTTGTTTTATAAATGCTTATTTTATGTACAGGACTGTAATTAGTGATTAGTATTTATTTATTTTTTGGGAGGGCGTCTGTTTCCCCTAACCCTGAATAAATATTTTCAGGTGACGTTCACCCGGTGCCTGTATGCCCAGCTCCAGCAGCAACAGTTCACCCCAGACCGGAGGAGTGG